CCTGCTGAAGCTGATGAAGAAATTCTCACCAACTTCTCCTGCTGCAAACTCAAAGCATCTACAGCACTTGTTGCTGCTTTGAATTGACATATCAAAGTTACATGAATTTGCTGGGACACTTCTTCTGAAGCGAAGCTTGAGAAAAAGGAATTACTCTTTTTTCCCAACCTTATTAAGCCCTGCTTCCCTGCACAGCTGCAGTAGACTTCAGTTGTGCTGCTTCTTACCCGTCTCACAGTAGGGATCGCCGTCCTCTAAGTGGAAGACATTATTGCGGATGGGGTTATGACAGGCCACACACACGAAGCAGGAAACGTGCCAAGTTTGTTTCAAAGCATTTATTACTTCCTGTGGGGATTAGAAAAAGTGTGATTAACACATTATTTTGATGTGATGACTAGATTGTGGTGATCATGCCTCCACACTTGATTTGTTTCAAGAATACTTTGTTTCCTATTGCGACTTTGAAAATGGGTGGTGCCTGCAATTTCTGCTGATGTTAAACTTGATGAGGTGCTTTATTTACGGTACATCTCCTTGTTTGTCCTAAGCAACCTTTCATTTTTTGGAAGGTTCAATGCAGAGTTGGACAGGTTTAACAACTCATTTGTTCACCTTTTCCATTTTAATTAGGATCTCGCCCACCTCAGCAGCACCCCCGACATCTCTTCAAGTCTGTGAAGAATTAATCAGAAGACACCACATAGAAAACTACGACTGCTCTGTGTTGTTTTGGAAGACGCTATAGTGCCAAATATGACTTGAGAACTGTGCTGCCAGAGCCCTGTGTGACCCCAGTTACACAAGAGCCCAGACACATTGCTGTCTGCAGTAAGGCAGCGGACAATCAGCTGGCAGGCTCAAATTATCAATATTAGTGCCGAGTAGGATAATGCGTCTGAAATATTCCCAATTACTGTTGGGACTATTTCAGTACTTCACATCTAGCCAACCAGTGTGTGCCTCAGTGCTCAGCCTAGCTAAGGAGGATTGCCCACCCTCCGATTTCGTAAAAAGCTGCCAATTAAAAGCATTTTGCTCAAGAAAATCTAGTAATCACAAGAGCTACAGAACAGCTTCATGAAAACAGGAGCTGAACTTGGAAGAGCCAAGGAGACTACAGCACCGGTCCTCAAAGAGACTGAAAAGGCTCAACGTCAGAAGAGCCAAAAACATATTCTGTATGTGATGGGAGCTGAAAAGGTATGTCAGAGTATGTTTAGAGGAACGCAAACTGGGCCAGATAAAAGGGAATTTTATTACAGAGAAGCACTGAACACTGCGGTTATTGTTCCCACTGAAAAATGGGCCAGCTGCTGGCCACTTACTCCAAGGATCTTCCTCTGGCACTTCGAACACTCAGGGGCGAAGAACTTCTCATAGCAGACCTCGCAATACAGCGCCCCTTTCTCTTCCACAAATCCAATGTAAGCCATGGAGGTTTTGCAATGAACACAATTAAACTCCTCTGGATGCCACGACTTCCCCAAAGCCACCAAGAAGGGTCCTCTGAATTAGAAAGAAGAGATTTTGTCAGCAAATGCCCCTGGGTTGGCTTCTGCAAAAGCTGTTAATAGGCTTAACGTGCGATACCTCTGTGCCATTATTACACTCGCACAGCCTTATACTGCTCCATCGCTCTTTCCTCCTACGGGCTCTGGGAAAGCATCAAGTGCTGACTAGATCTATTCCCATTGAACGATCTCCCACAAACACCTGACCATAATAAATACCAATTCTCTTCACTGCATTTCAGAAGTATTATTTTAGAACCGCATTAAATACCGTTGTGAAGTGGCTGCTAGCGAAGAGAAGAAAGATAGTCCCCATGTTCCCAACTATTTCCCTCCATTGCAAATACGTATTTCACTCAGTGATACAATCAGCGCTCTCAGTATGCATTTGTATCAAGGCCACAAATGTTCAAGTAGACTTGACTGCACTAAGAGTTGATAATATCAGTTTCTTGTGAGACAAAAATTCAAACGCTGTCCTTATCCAACAAGTTTGTTACAGGATAACCCATCCCGGTTGTAGGGGGATTTTTTGTTGGGGGCTGGCAGGGGTGTATATGTCCTCTTTTTTTTTTACTTCCCTCTTTTCCTTCAGAAACTAGTTAAAATAGGACCATTTACTCCAAATACAGAGCCTCCTCTATTATTTGAAAACACAAAATAATGATGCTTTTAATAGCACGTCATTGTATCTGTATTTATTTAAAAACATATTCAGCATGCTAATTTCTTTAATGAACATATTTACTTTAATGAGGTGCCTCCAAGGTCCCACCAACTCTCAACCTTCCAGAATTTAGGTTTCAGGTGAACTTTGTGGTTCAAGTTCATCTCTCCCACCAGACTTCCCATTTTTCCAACACCAATATTTCTGATCTAATGCTTTGCTGCAAAAATAGTATAAGGTACTAATATCACCACTCTGTTGCTAAACATTTTTTTGAAATTGAGTAAGCAACAAGAACATTTTTGTGTAAGAAAAGATTCTCATATGAGCAAAGTAACAGCAGTAGAGAAGAAAAAAAAACCTTAAAATTTGGTTCCAGGGTTATACTGACTCTAAGATGGGACTATAAGTGGGCAGAGGACAGAGAGCAACTTCATTGAGAGTAGGGGTAGTTATCTGCATTTCTCTTTTACACTTTCTTCAGAGATGCTATGTATTTTCAACATGATGAGAAGTCAAAAACAAGGGACTCAAGCAGATTTAGGACAACTCACACACCTTCTGAGATGATGGACATATTTAATCTGCAACAGTTTCTTCTATTCACCTCATTATTGGAGAGAAAGTAGAGAAAAACAGCTCCTGGAGAGCAGCTTATAGCCCTTTAAGGAAGGAGGTGGGGGTCAAGCGCAGCTCTCTGGCCCCCGCTCCCAGTGGATGCCTGAGCAGCGCAAACACTGACCTAACCCGATACCCTCCCGCTGCTCTACAAGCACCTTTTTACATCAATGCCCTTTCAGTTATGTACTGATCAAACAATACAAGCCCTTATGTACAACAAAGTGCTCTCAGTGCGCCGTGTCAGCACAGGCTAATTTAACAGATTCATTAACACGGGGCTGACACCGAAGAGGCTCTCCCAGCTCCAGGTAGGATTGAGTTTCTGGCCATCTGCACCGAAACGATAGGCTTGGTTAGCTCTGCGATGGAAAGCAAGTACGCTAGCGATGGAAGGGGAAGGAATTTTTACAACATCTGCTGCATTTAGCTCTCCGGAGTTTACAGCTCTGACATGTCGAGGTTAGCCGTTCAGGACAGCGTGCAGGAACGCAGACGGATGGGGAACAGCCTGAGAGTGCATCTACGGAGTTTCTTTCCCCAAGTCCCCAGACAGCTGTGGCCGTGCCCTGCACAATGTCTCCGAGGTGTTCCATTAGCAGGCTGGCTCCCTGCGCACACGTGTCCAGAAGAACGTTTTCTAAATACCATTTTACTTTTAATCAGGCTGTAGTTTAAACATGTCAAGGTGACGCTGCAGCTTAATGATACCACTGACTTAAAAGCTGCCCCAAAGCACATGGAAGAAAGAAAAAAAAAACCCCAAAAAACGAACACCTGCCATGCAAAATACACTAAAACATGATATTCAGAACTTGGAGGTGTTCCTGGCCTCCGCATATTTTTGCAATTGAAAGTATAGTTTCCAGTAATGAAAGGTATTTGCTTGCTGTATTCATCTGAAAACAAGTTTAAAGTCCCGATTTGAGTAAGGGGGCTGCATGCTCACACTCATGCAACCTATGGGAAGTAGCTAGGGCATGAGATGCTAGGAGGATGGCTTCATCCATCCTTCACCATTTAAAAACAAAAAACCAATAAAAAATCCCACATGCCTCTGTCAACTAGAACATATTTTTAAAGGTGGTGCCAAAACCCCATGTTCCTTCCATCCAAAGATATGGGATGATCCAACTAGCAACAGTTGGCTATAAATGCGCATCTATCCCAGGCTACTTTGACATGCTAAGGATTTTGGAACAAATTTCTGACATTACCATCTAAACCCCATCTAGACCACATGAACCAAACTCGCAGATGGAGGCAAACAGTCGGGGGGGGTGGGGGGGGGGTGTTTTGTTGTATTGTTTCTCATGTATTTGCAATGGTATTTACAGAATCTTATGCCCCAAAGGATCACCAGGTACGTAAATTTGGTAGCCACCTAAAACATCTGGGTCATGCATGTAGCAATGATAATATGGGCAAATTGGAAGAAGTAGTAAATAACATACATGGAATATAAGCGTAATTTCACTATCTTTCCCCTTGTAACTAAATATAACTTTATCAGTATGGTCGTGATGTATTAGTATGCCAATACTCTAGCTTCTCATGTGGCTTTTATTATCATAGCAAGCCAGAACTGAAATTTGGTGGTAGAGAGATCAAAAGAATTTCCACATCTGCTAAGTAGGCCACTCACTTTACAGTTAACCACACAGCAGTCTACGATCTGGGAAGTTTCTTTTTCACCTCACTTAAAAACACCACCATATATAGTTTCTGTATAGGAGATGCTAAAGGGAAGCACGATTCATACTTTTTCCCTTTTGCCTTTAAAAACAATTAAATTGTATGAAAAGGTGACAAAGCCAAATCATCATTCACAAGCAGACATGCCAAAGAGTACATTCTCAATGGAGATCCAGGGAAAACACATTTGGACTTGAAAGGAAGAGCCAACTCTGCACCACAGCACTCGGTAAAACTGCCCAGAAACCGGAAGTCTTCATCAGGAAATGTCAGAAGTTTGTCAGACCATCACAGCAAGTAGATCATGGGAAATTTGGTTTGCCTCCAGCTTTGATTCTTTTAGACACTGAAAGAAAAGCTTACTTAATGAAGCTTTGGGAAAAAATGGAATCTTCAGACAATCACTGTATGAATAATTAAAGATATTTGAAAGAGTTATAAGATGTCTCTAAGAAATGGTTTTGGCTCAACCAGCCATTGTCATTCTATGCCTGAGTGTAAAGTAACCGACTCCACAATGCATTTTTCCTTCAAAACAGATGTACAATGCAATGACACTTGATCTTCCTCCTACCTTTTCATAGGTAATGCTACCACTAAGGGCATGAACTGTAATTATGCTAAAACTTGAATGCAAAATGCCACTGCAATCTTTCAAATCCATGGTATGCTGTGAACATGAGGCATATTTGGCATTGATTAATGCACTTCAACTCATCCTCAAATGAAACAATGCTTACCTTTAATAATTGAGGTGGCATTTAACATATGAAGAAATATAAGGATTTAAACACCACCAGCAAATTACAAAGAAGTTAGATGTGAGTATCAGTTACTATTCACTAAGTGGTGTCACTTACAACAGGTGACAATGGCTTAGGTACCGTCAAGTAGGGCTCCACACTTTCTCCTCATGCAGCCACTAAGGAGCAAAGGATGCTCCATGGACCAATTTACAGGGCAGCAGCTCGTCTCCTTTTTAATGTGATCAAGGCAGGGAGAATCAGCAAGTTATTTAAGGGCTGAAAGGAGAGGTTTGCTGCTCAGCAGAAATCTGTGGACTGTGCTGTGAGACCACATGGCACAGAGCATCAGTGAACCCTGCTAAACCACAGGTGCTGTAAAAGACACTGACGTTTCTTGCATGAAAGATGCAGCATATAGGGGTTTGCTATGTTTGTATTTATTTTTAATCTGAAATGATGGAAACAAAAAGGAAAGTGTATAGTTGCTTGCATATTATTTACTAGACACAAATCCAAAGCTCTTCACTGCCCAGGGATCAAAAAAATTAGAATGCTAGAGACAGACAGGATGGTTATATACGCCAAACTGTTAAGAAATCAGATGAATCTCATCCAAAAATTTGTGTAGACCTTTTAGATACTAATCTTTCACTTTGTGGTGAAGCAAAAAATCTGGATTAGAAAAGATGTACACCTATGTTGGGAATTTGTACAAGTTTTTTTCTATTGCTTCAAGGAGATTCAGATCATATATTTTTATTTCCTTGACATATACAATGGAAGTAGGAAAAAATTCTCCAAAACATCATAGAACAGTTAGCAGAGTCCTCTAGAATTAACCTGATGTTCACTGAACTGGTAGGGAACTATCAGAACAGAAATCTAATGGAAGTAAACAAGCTGGACTCTATTCACCCCTAGAGATCAAATTATTTGACTTAGCTGCATCTTCTGATGCAGAGTCCAAGCCAGGGCTCAAGAGGCTGTAAAAAGCCATGGTGGAAAGGCTGATTTTCTATTATAGTGAATGAAATTTATACAGGTCATAGAGCTCCTCTTTTTCAGAACTCATTTTTTCTAATCAAAAAAGTCTCTCTTTTTAACCATGGTGAAACATAGTGCAGGCTCTCCTATTTTGTTCACTGAAAACATGGGACATAGATGAATAAGAAAGAAATATTACAATGCATTACTTTCCCCTTGCAGTTCCACAACACAGATGACCGAAAAAGCAAGAAGAAAATATTTTAAAAGAATACATTTCT